ACACTACACTACACTACACTACACTACACTACACTACACTACACTACACTACACTACACTACACTACACTACACTACACTACACTACACTACACTACACTACACTACACTACACACACTACCAACTCGCCGTGGTGTATCAATACGCTGGGTGGGGGGGGGGGGGGGGCAGTACGAAGAGACGGTGACATTTGTTTTCACTCCATAACATCCAGACCCAATTGTTGAGAGGGATTGGGATCCGATGACTTTGGGTTGGCGAAACAAATAGTTTCGTCCTCTAGCGCTGGGTTTACAGTTTTAAAATAGGAAAATCAAAGTATAAAAAGATTCAATGGCCAAAACAAAATATGTAGCAAGTAATAAACGCGGAGAACATGAAAAAAATATTTTTCTTTAGCCTGCGCTTCTGTTTACTTTTGAACGCATGCCAATAACCTAATTATATTGGCCAGGTCACATTTAAAATACAAGATTTGATTGGCTATTTAATTAAGGTTGCACATTCTTGAGTTTGTGCTATAATCCTCCGTTAATATTTTATTGTGAGTTTTGAAATTATTTGTTTAAAGATTTAAAAGCTTTTCTCTGTTATTTTCCTTTATAAGATGGCGACAATTGTTTAATTACTTGAAAAAACAAGCAAACATCGGGTTTGTTGTGATTTGTTTACACACGTCCAAACCAAGGTCATAAAGTGACGTCACTAAGCCAATCGTGTCGACCAACCAAACGAAAGGTTTGTTGACACGGGAGTTTGGACACGATCCGAGTGTAACCAGTGGACACGTTGAGCCAAAATCTCCAGATCTAGTTGCCAGTTGGTCCGTGCTATATTGCTACCTGGTCAGTTCTCATGCTCAACAGATGCAGGAGACAGAAAGCAAGTTTCCATAGGAGAGTTGCCAGGTTTGATAAGAAAACAGCTGCCATCTTGCTTTAGCCAACACTTGCCAGTTTGTTCTGGTCAAGTAAATTTTGGCACGGAATGAAATCCCAATAATTTGATTGATCGGACATGAGAGGCGGGTCTATAGGCCGTAAGGGGAATTACTCTGTAACATTATCCTGATTAATGGGATGACTGACGTCATTGTGTTTCGGAGAAATATCGAACACAGCCATCCGTTCCATCTCTATAATAAGCAACATTTTGTACATATTTTGTACACATTTTGTACACATATCTGTTCAGACAAAATGGTCTACTGGAATCTATACTGGACGCTCCTTATTTGATTTGGTGAAGGATTACAGATCTAGTAGTCCAATATATACATAATGTATCGCACTCTTTAAAACTAACGTAGGCGCCATTGTGCTCACGGTGGAGCCCAGGGTGCCAAATCGCTCCCTGCCGGGGCACCGAAAGACACTCATGATTCGTTTTATGGAAGGAGTATAGAAAAATCGCTCCCTGCCGGGGCACCGCCAACTTCCCAATTACATTTTCTTTCGCAGAAACCTTTTTATGAGTGTTCTCAACAGCTTCATAAAGTTTCATACGATCAGATGAATGAAGTAGCAGAGGACAAACAGACTTACATACACACACACACACACACACACACACATATATATATATATATATATATATATATATATATATATATATATATATATATATATATATATTCAGCTGTGGCCGTGCAGTGGACATCAATGTCTCCCTCCCTTATTTAACCACACCACGTGGAGAATGACGGGACAGCTGGCCTTCAACTTCCGGTCCTCATGTTTCTTTACTCACCACCAGCAGACGATAAAGGAAATTTATTGTGAACTGTAACCCTTCCATCGCCACCTCGCTGGTGTGACCTAGAAAACAAGTTGGCCAGATCAATTTGTTGCTGTAATTACTTTATGGAAATCAGGCCAATAGCCCCAACACCGTGGTCCTAGCGCAGCTTACTTCAAGTTAGGGAGGGTTGCTGGCTGGTTGCTGGCTGGTTGTCGGGTGGTTGCTGGCTGGTTGCTGGGTGGTTGCTGGCTGGTTGTCGGGTGGTTGCTGGCTGGTTGCTGGGTGGTTGCTGGCTGGTTGTCGGGTGGTTGCTGGCTGGTTGTCGGGTGGTTGCTGGCTGGTTGCTGGGTGGTTGCTGGGTGGTTGTTGGATGGTTGGAAGCAGAGTTTTTTCCATGCATCTGTTCGGTGTGTGTGTGGGTGGGTGGGTGTTCGCCTCCAACCCCGAAGAAAGTCTATCCCCCCCCCCCCCCACCAAGATATGGAATATATATAGTTTAGTCCGCCCCCAAAAATATCAGCGCAACCCCACAACAAAAAAGTCTAAAAGAAACACAGGTTGTAAGATGGTTGCTGGATGGTTGTAAGATGGTTGCTGGATGGTTGTAAGATGGTTGTTGGGTGGTTGTAAGATGGTTGTTGGATGGTTGTAATATGGTTGTTGGATGGTGGTAAGATGGTTGTAATATGGTTATTGGATGGTTGTAATATGGTTGTTGGATGGTGGTAAGATGGTTGTAATATGGTTATTGGATGGTTGTAATATGGTTGTTGGATGGTTGTAAGATGGTTGTTGGATGGTTGTATGATGGTTGTTGGATTGTTGTAAGATGGTTGTAAGAAGGTTGGATGGTTGTAAACGACATAATGCAGCCAGTAATGACGACATAATGACTGCAGTCTGACAAACTAGCCGCACGGTCTAATGACGTCATGACCGGACAGGTTCTAGCAATGTACTGGACTCACGTTACCGTGACCGGCCCCTAACATTCTCACTGCCGGCCCTTATTGATCGGGGAGTTGGGGGCTAATTGCTCACAGCTGTGTAGTCCATGGGGACCTTGGGGTGGTAGTCTGGACATTTCTCACTAGACAGACTTCAGACTTTGTTAGTCTGTCCCCCCCCCCCCACTAGACAGTCTTTGTATCCCCCCCCCCCCACTAGACAGACTTCAGACTTTGCAAGTCCGTCCCCCACTAGACAGACTTTGCAAGTCCGTCCCCCACTAGACAGACTTTGCAAGTCCGTCCCCCACTAGACAGACTTTGTAAGTCCCCCCACCCCACTAGACAGACTTTGCAAGTCCGTCCCCCACTAGACAGACTTTGCAAGTCCGTCCCCCACTAGACAGACTTTGCAAGTCTGTCCCCCACTAGACAGACTTTGTGAGTTCGTCCCCCGCTAGACAGACTTTGTAAGTCTGTCCCCCCACTAGACAGACTCCAGGTGTCTAGAACAACTTAGACTTCACACAAAAAACCTCTAGCAGATCATCTAACGCCGTGCGTGTGTGAGTGTGTGTGTGTGTGTGGGGGGGGGGGGGGGGTGAGGGCGGGGTAAACATTAGACGCTATCAAATATTTAAAGTTCATTTGTTCCACGTTTTTGTTTTTAACTCTTCAAGGTTGATTGTGTGTGTATGTGTATGTGTGTGTGAGTGAGTGTGTGTGTTACTTGTCCGTCGATTTTGAAAAACTTCTAGACTATAATCCGGTTGACGCAAAATAAAAGTTATTCATTCGTTAATTAAATGATGCGCATTCTATATGGCCAGCCATTAGAGTTTCTTTCATGTATTTCTTTGGCAGGGGTAGAGGATGCATTGTTTAACTCCCCCCCCCCTCCCCCGGACTAAATAGAAAACATTTTTGTAGAAAATGTTTTCTTTATTGGGGTATTGTAGTTTAACAATTAAGAGTTACAGAAAGGTAGAAAATAAATCATGTATCAATTCTTTACAATCATTGAACGTGAATAAAATGAATAAAATGAATTTTTTTATGATTTATAAAAAAAATTATAGCTAAAGAGGTTAACAATACATCTTTAAAGTGTGTTATAATTAAAAAAAAACAGGATAACGTTTTTTTTTATTGATGTTTTAATCTTGAAAGATATGTACCTCTGGTCAGAGCAAGACATAAAACAGCTCTAGATCTAAGCTGGATTTTAGAGGTTCGTTTGATACTGTAAACACGCTTACACTAGATCTAAGCTGGATTTTATACATGTGGCTGTGCTGTTGATATTTTAATAACATAGGACTGTGGCCTTTGAACATGAAACTAACTTCTGATACTCCCAAGCTTATTTGGGCACCTAAAATAACAATAAACATCTGACAACTACACTCCACAAATAACAATAAACATCTGACAACTACACTCAACAGATAACAATAAACATCTGCCAACTACACTCCACAGATAACAATAAACATCTGACAACTACACTCAACAGATAACAATAAACATCTGACAACTACACTCAACATATAACAATAAACATCTGACAACTACACTCCACAGATAACAATAAACATCTGACAACTACACTCCACAGATAACAATAAACATCTGACAACTACACTCCACAGATAACAATAAACATCTGACAACTACACTCCACAGATAACAATAAACATCTGACAACTACACTCCACAGATAACAATAAACATCTGACAACTACACTCAACAGATAACAATAAACATCTGACAACTACACTCCACAGATAACAATAAACATCTGACAACTACACTCCACAGATAACAATAAACATCTGACAACTACACTCCACAGATAACAATAAACATCTGACAACTACACTCCACAGATAACAATAAACATCTGACAACTACACTCCACAGATAACAATAAACATCTGACAACTACACTCCACAGATAACAATAAACATCTGACAACTACACTCCACAGATAACAATAAACATCTGACAACTACACTCCACAGATAACAATAAACATCTGACAACTACACTCCACAGATAACAATAAACATCTGACAACTACACTCCACAGATAACAATAAACATCTGACAACTACACTCAACAGATAACAATAAACATCTGACAACTACACTCAACAGATAACAATAAACATCTGACAACTACAATCCGAAACTTATTTGGGCACCTCAGATAAAAATAAACATCTGACTTCTACACATTCATACAAAGAAACATGTTACAAATACACCCCCCCCCCTACAGACTGAACTCATCTAAGACATTTCTCACCTGCTTCGTCTGGTCAGAAGGTGAGTTCCACGGGCTTTGATCACGTGACCATAGGGTGAGTCATTGGTATCCTGGTCACTGGCCCAAGGTCATCATCACAAATCTCTGTCAATAATATGTCAACATCACAATTTCACAGTTTTAAAGTTGTCCCATGTATTTCCTGACGGCCACACTTTTAAAGTTGTCACAAATATTTCCTGACGGCCACACTTTTAAAGTTGTCACAAATATTTCCTGACCGCCACAGTTTTAAAGTTGTCACAAATATTTCCTGACGGCCACAGTTTTAAAGTTGTCACATGTATTTCCTGACGGCCACAGTTTTAAAGTTGTCACAAATATTTCCTGACGGCCACAGTTTTAAAGTTGTCACAAATATTTCCTGACGGCCACAGTTTTCAAGTTGTCACAAATATTTCCTGACCACCATAGTTTTAAAGTTTTCACAAATATATCCTGACCACCACAGTTTTATAGTTGTCACAAATATTTCCTGACGGCCACAGTTTTAAAGTTGTCACAAAAATTTCCTGACGGCCACTAGCCCGCGGTGCTGGCAGATATGGTCAGTTTCTGGCACCGCCTCCTAGAAATAAACACAGACACAACTTGAACTCGACAGCGCTGGACTGAACGTGAAACTAATGCTAGTCTCCCCTGGACTGAACGTACGTGAAACTAATGCTAGTCTCCCCTGCCGCAGCAACTCGAGTTAAAGGGCGAGCACTGGTGGACAAGAGTCGTCGTTCCTTGTACTTAAAAAACAAGAAAAAAAAATTGGACATCGCCAGAGTGGTCGTTCTTTGAACTTGAAAAGCAGCGGAGGTTTTTAAAAGACGGCTCGATCGATGCCTTCATCTCACGCGCGTGAAATTCGTGTCTGCGACGTCCCTGCTCCGTGTGACCCTCGACCCGTGCCACCCTTCCCCCCCCCCCCCCCCCGCGCCCCTGTGTCCCCTTCAAGTGTCGCTAGACCGATGATTTGGCCAGCCGATGCAGACTCCGTTTAATATCCATACAAAATACTTCAACCGTAGCCACGGGCTTGTAAAGTTTCAATTTGTTGGTCGGTAGGGTCAGTCAAGGGGTCCAGTCAAGGGGGTCAGTCAGCAGGGTGACGGAGTCTACGAGATCAACACGTCAGTCAACTAGTGTAATACGTCAGTCAGTCGGTCAACTAGTGTAATACGTCAGTCAGTCGGTCAACTAGTTTAATACGTCAGTCAGTCGGTCAACTAGTGTAATACGTCAGTCAGTCGGTCAACAAGTGTAATACGTTAGTCAGTCAGTCAACTAGTTAAAGACGTCAGCTAGTTAAAGACGTCAGTCAGTTAAAGACGTCAGTCAGTCAGTTAAAGACGTCAGTCAGCTAGTTAAAGACGTCAGTCAGTCAGCTAGTTAAATACGTCAGTCAGCTAGTTAAAGACGTCAGTCAGCAAGTTAAAGACTTCAGTCAGTCAACTAGTTAAAGACGTCAGTCAGCAAACTAAAGACGTCAGTCAGTCAGCTAGTTAAAGACGTCAGTCAGCTAGTTAAAGACGTCAGTCAGCTAGTTAAAGACGTCAGTCAGTCAACTAGTTAAAGACGTCTGTCAGTCAACTAGTTAAAGACGTCAGTCAGTCAACTAGTTAAAGACGTCAGTCAGTCAACTAGTTAAAGACGTCTGTCAGTCAACTAGTAAAAGACGTCAGTCAGTCAACTAGTTAAAGACGTCTGTCAGTCAACTAGTTAAAGACGTCAGTCAGTCAGCTAGTTAAAGACGTCAGTCAGTCAACTAGTTAAAGACGTCTGTCAGTCAACTCTAGCGAGCGACTGTTATGATCACGAGTTACCCGCCTTGAGCGAGCGACTGTTATGATCACGAGTTACCCGCCTTGAGCGAGCGACTGTTATGATCACGAGTTACCCGCCTTGAGGGAGCGACTGTTCTGTTGATCACGAGTTACCCGCCTTGAGCGAGCGACTGTTATGATCACGAGTTACCCGCCTTGAGCGAGCGACTGTTATGATCACGAGTTACCCGCCTTGAGCGAGCGACTGTTATGATCACGAGTTACCCGCCTTGAACGAGCGACTGTTATGATCACGAGTTACCCGCCTTGAGCGAGCGACTGTTATGATCACGAGTTACCCGCCTTGAGTGAGCGACTGTTATGATCACGAGTTACCCGCCTTGAGCGAGCGACTCTTATGGTCACGAGTTACCCGCCTTGAGTGAGCGACTGTTATGATCACGAGTTACCCACCTTGAGCGAGCGACTGTTATGATCACGAGTTACCCGCCTTGAGCGAGCGACTGTTATGATCACGAGTTACCCGCCTTGAGCGAGCGACTGTTCTGTTGATCACGAGTTACCCACCTTGAGCGAGCGACTGTTATGATCACGAGTTACCCACCTTGAGCGAGCGACTGTTATGATCACGAGTTACCCGCCTTGAGCGAGCGACTGTTATGATCACGAGTTACCCGCCTTGAGCAAGCGACTGTTATGATCACGAGTTACCCGCCTTGAGCGAGCGACTGTTATGATCACGAGTTACCCGCCTTGAGTGAGCGACTGTTATGATCACGAGTTACCCGCCTTGAGCGAGCGACTGTTATGATCACGAGTTACCCGCCTTGAGGGAGCAACTGTTCTGTTGATCACGAGTTACCCGCCTTGAGCGAGCGACTGTTATGATCACGAGTTACCCACCTTGAGTGAGCGACTGTTATGATCACGAGTTACCCACCTTGAGCGAGCGACTGTTATGATCACGAGTTACCCGCCTTGAGCGAGCGACTGTTCTGTTGATCACGAGTTACCCGCCTTGAGTGAGCGACTGTTATGGTCACGAGTTACCCGCCTTGAGCGAGCGACTGTTATGATCACGAGTTACCCGCCTTGAGCAAGCGACTGTTATGATCACGAGTTACCCACCTTGAGCGAGCGACTGTTACGGTCACGAGTTACCCGCCTTGAGCGAGCGACTGTTATGATCACGAGTTACCCGCCTTGAGCGAGCGACTGTTATGGTCAAGAGTTACCCGCCTTGAGTGAGCGACTGTTATGATCACGAGTTACCCACCTTGAGCGAGCGACTGTTACGGTCACGAGTTACCCGCCTTGAGCGAGCGACTGTTATGATCACGAGTTACCCGCCTTGAGCGAGCGACTGTTATGGTCAAGAGTTACCCGCCTTGAGTGAGCGACTGTTATGGTCACGAGTTACCCGCCTTGAGCGAGCGACTGTTATGGTTAAGAGTTACCCGCCTTGAACGAGCGACTGTTATGATCACGAGTTACCCGCCTTAGCCGCGAGTCCTTGATCTTGTCAACTGAGTCTTGGACCTAAATTGGGAAACTCGTATTAACGGGAGACAATCCGATTTCTGAGACATTTCTTTCTAGTGCCACTTCCAGCTGGGCACTCCACCGGAAGTCTTCTGTCTGCTGGCAGTGTTCGTCTGCCGGGGGACAATCAAGGGACAACTAACAACCAATCAGACAACGAGACGTGGACTGCTGACAGCCAATCAAATGATTGAAGACAACCAGACAAATGACGAGCTACAATATTGGCTGTGTCGTAGAGTGACACATAACACACAACACAGTTTTGCATCTGTCTAGTCTAAGTTTGTAACTAGGGTACAACATGATATGCTACCTAGAGGTGGGGAGGTGGGGAGGTGTGGAGTTTGGTGTGTGTGGTGGGTGTTGGTGTGAGGATGTGGAGGAGTGGAGGTTTTCTCTGGTGGAGTATGGAGGTGTATGCCGGTGGGGGTGTAAAGATGGCTTCCGGCAGGGTAGAAGTGTGAAAGTAATTTGTCTCAAATTGAGTGAAACACTACCGGCACGGGAACAAAGGCTGGCACCAGACGATCACTGTTTCTTCCAGACTTTTTTCTCCGGGGGGGCACTTGAAATTTTCGGGGGGGGGGGGGGGGGCGGTAGACTTTCTTCGGGGGGGGGGGGGGCGGACACTGTTAAAAGTATATATTTTCTATATAAATTATATAAATTTCATTTATTTCATAAATTTTTCGGGGGGGCTTTAGCCCCCCCCCCCCCCCGAAGAGATGCCTGGAAGAAACTCTGCAGACGGTGGATGGAGCAGGCGGTGGAGCAGACGGTGGATGAAGCAGAGAATTCTCCACGCGTTATTAGCTGAGCTTGGAGAAGAACGAGGAATTCACAAAATTCACAAAATTCACCTGGCACATCTCACACGCCTCACACTCACATGTTTCTCACCCAGGCAGGAACTTGAGGTGGGAGCAACAGTTCCCCCCGTCAAGCCTCAGGTGTGTGTGGGGGGGGGGGGGGTGACAGGTATATTTCCATTTTCTGGCGGTCACACGTCACTAATAACATGACAATGTCACGCCAGATATGACACTACGTGTAACCCAGCGACGAATATCGTGACGTGATCCATGTGTGAGTATTGTGAATAATGTGTAAGGAGAGAGTCGTATAAAAGGGGTGAGGGTGGAGTGTCTGAAGTACTGGGCGTGTGTGTGTGTGTGTGTGTGTGTGTGTATGTGTGTGACAGTACGCGTTGGATAGCACCAGAACGTGTGATATTTTGGAGATTTTGAAACGTGTGAAAAACGTAGTTGTCGTTATGGAGGATTATCCCAGCCGCTGCTCAACATAATAAACAAAACTTTACCAGCAGCATCAGCATAACTGGTGGATTTAAACGTCCATACAGATGACTGACGTCCATACAGATGACTGACGTCCATACAGATGACTGACGTCCATACATATGACTGACGTCCATACCATACAGATGACTGACGTCCATACCATACAGATGACTGACGTCTATACAGATGACTGACGTCTATACAGATGACTGACGTACATACCATACATATGACTGACGTCCATACGGATGACTGACATCCATACCATACAGATGACTGACGTCCATACCATACAGATTACTGACGTCCATACAGATGACTGACGTCAATACAGATGACTGACGTCCATACAGATGACTGACGTCCATACAGATGACTGACGTCCATACCATACAGATGACTGACGTCCATACCATACAGATGACTGACGTCCATACCATACAGATGACTGACGTCCATACAGATGACTGACGTCCATACAGATGACTGACGTCTATACAGATGACTGACGTCCATACCATACAGATGACTGACGTCCATACAGATGACTGACGTCCATACAGATGACTGACGTCCATACAGATGACTGACGTCCATACAGATGACTGACGTCCATACCATACAGATGACTGACGTCAATACCATACAGATGACTGACGTCTATACAGATGACTGACGTCCATACAGATGACTGACGTCCATACAGATGACTGACGTCCATACAGATGACTGACGTCCATACAGATGACTGACGTCCATACAGATCACTGACGTCCATACAGATGACTGACGTCCATACAGATGACTGACGTCCATACCATACAGATGACTGACGTCAATACCATACAGATGACTGACGTCTATACAGATGACTGACGTCCATACAGATGACTACGTCCATACATATGACTGACGTCCATACCATACAGATGACTGACGTCCATACCATGCAGATGACTGACGTCCATACCATACAGATGACTGACGTCCATACAGATGACTGACGTCCATACCATACAGATGACTGACGTCCATACCATACAGATGACTGACGTCCATACATATGACTGACATCCATACCATACAGATGACTGACGTCCATACCATACAGATGACTGACGTCCATACATATGACTGACGTCCATACAGATGACTGACGTCCATACCGATGATTGACGCCGATACCATACTGTCGTCCTTTCAGAAGACTTTGACGTCCAAAATTTGACTAATGTTAATATAATGGCCTGTGACGTCCTTAAAACTGACTGTGACGTCATCTGATGTCACGTGGTTCCACATGCCAGATAGAAAGAATATCTAACAGGGATGACGTGGTTGGATTACCGCCCCTAACAAGGGAGGTCATCGATTCAATATCAGATAAACATCGGAGGACGTGAAGCCTTTCAAAGAAGAGGAAACTGATTGGAATCTTTAGACCGTGTTCAATATTTTTTAGCCATCAATTTTTTCCAACGTTTTTGTCATCTGGCCAAGCTCAAAAATGGATAAATCCACGTCAGAAAAATCTGGCAGAAACACAGCACTGTTGACATCAGCACTCACACGTCTCAACTTGAATGTGGGGGGGGGGGGGTCTGTGTGTGTGTGGTGATGGTGTTGATGTGGTGGTTATGGGGGTCCTGGCATGTTGCGTGAAACACAATAAAAACATCGTAAGTCGAATGATATGTACACGAGGGTTGGTGCAGTGTCATGTAAGCATAATATGGGCTCTTATGGCAGACAATGGGTGCACACAACCTTAAGTTGTACACATAATATGGGCTCTTATGGCAGACAGTGGGTGCACACAACCTTAAGTTGTACACATAATATGGGCTCTTATGGCAGACAATGGGTGCACACAACCTTAAGTTGTACACATAATATGGGCTCTTATGGCAGACAACGGGTGCACACAACCTTAAGTTGTACACATAATATGGGCTCTTATGGCAGACAACGGGTGCACACAACCTTAAGTTGTACACATAATATGGTCTTTTATGGCAGACAACGGGTGCACACAACCTTAAGTTGTACACATAATATGGGCTCTTATGGCAGACAACGGGTGCACACAACCTTAAGTTGTACACATAATATGGGCTCTTATGGCAGACAGTGGGTGCACACAACCTTAAGTTGTACACATAATATGGGCTCTTATGGCAGACAACGGGTGCACACAACCTTAAGTTGTACACATAATATGGTCTCTTATGGCAGACATTGGGTGCACACAACCTTAAGTTGTACACATAATATGGGCTCTTATGGCAGACAACGGGTGCACACAACCTTAAGTTGTACACATAATATGGGCTCTTATGGCAGACAACGGGTGCACACAACCTTAAGTTGTACACATAATATGGGCTCTTATGGCAGACAGTGGGTGCACACAACCTTAAGTTGTACACATAATATGGGCTCTTATGGCAGACAACGGGTGCACACAACCTTAAGTTGTACACATAATATGGTCTCTTATGGCAGACAGTGGGTGCACACAACCTTAAGTTGTACACATAATATGGGCTCTTATGGCAGACAACGGGTGCACACAACCTTAAGTTGTACACATAATATGGTCTCTTATGGCAGACAACGGGTGCACACAACCTTAAGTTGTACACATAATATGGTCTCTTATGGCAGACAATGGGTGCACACAACCTTAAGTTGTACACATAATATGGGTCCTTATGGCAGACAACGGGTGCACACAACCTTAAGTTGTACACATAATATGGTCTCTTATGGCAGACAATGGGTGCACACAACCTTAAGTTGTACACATAATATGGTCTCTTATGGCAGACAACGGGTGCACACAACCTTAAGTTGTACACATAATATGGTCTCTTATGGCAGACAACGGGTGCACACAACCTTAAGTTGTACACATAATATGGTCTTTTATGGCAGACAACGGGTGCACACAACCTTAAGTTGTACACATAATATGGTCTCTTATGGCAGACAACGGATGCGAACAGAGAAGTGAGATCCTAGGGCGCGTTCCAGGGCACTACATAAACAGATCATAGTTTGCAAATGCACCGTCGTTCTCTCTCTCTCTCTCTCTCTCTCTCTCTCTCTCTCTCTCTCTCTCTCTCTCGATCTTCGCCGATATACACCGATGATATACACAAATGATATGGTCAAAGGAATGCTAAGCAATACGTTAGGTACCATTTACGTGTAGGCCAAAAAAGAAAATCAGTTTATGTTCCCATGACACAATTGTTGGCTGATGTAAGCATTCAGTGAAGGTAAGATCAGATATCAGTAGGGACCCAATTCAATCTTTACACATCATCCTGTACACATCACTACATCATCCTGTACACTTCACTACCTTAAGGTGTACACATCACTACATTAAGATGTACACATCACTACCTTAAGATGTACACATCAGCACATCATATTTACACACCCGTGTATTCGTGACGCGGTTCCAATAAAAATTCCCCAGCTAATGGTGCAGCAATAATTGAATGTGCTCTACACGATCTAATAATATCTCAACCAGAGGGCGCTTTAACATGGAATGTTTCTTACACGTCAGGGAGGGGTAGGGGGGGGGGGCTGGATGGACGAACGAGAGAAAAGTGACTTGGCAGACGGGAGTCAGCCATCTTTAGGTCTCTACCAGACCAGCCCCAGACGTACAAGACAATAGCGAGGTGAGTCACGTGACCGGCTGCACCCAATGACCGGCTGTGTTTCAATGTGTTATACAGCAGAACGGTTTGTTTATATCCTTATGCCTTGACTGAAATGACTGGAGTAAAGAGTCAGATTGTAGTAACTGATTGGAGTAAGTGGCTGCAGTGACTGGAGTGATTGTTATTTAGACGACCGTTAACACAATAGACCACACACAAAGAATGGAGCCGACAATAAAGAAACAAAACTGCCAATTACGAAATCGTTAATTACCTTCATTACCTGTGGGCTGTTTCACCATAAGAGAAATAAATGGTGTTTTACGTCACATGTGCTAACCATAGTCGCATGTAAGGTTAGACGGTGGGGTAGGGAGGGAGTGATAGAAATAACGACGTTGAAACGTCTGCTAGATGGATGCCGTTGAAACAAAAAACATTGAGCTGACAACATTAGACTTGAACTTTGATCTGATCAGTTTTCTCGGATTAAAGATTAGTTCTAGACAATTGCTGTGTCAGACAGTATCATGTGACGTCAGTATCATGTGACGTCATTAGGAGCTCAGATTTAGATGACGTCTTGTACTGCTGCCATTAGTAGCACATGACGTCACACTAAAACTTGTCTTTGAAATGTTTCAACCAGCCCATGCATCAGTCAGAGAACTAAAGCAACTCCTTACATTTTAATCTTGTACGCACATCTTTAAAAAGGACACACCAATCCGACACTCTAATGACACATTAGCACGACACTTTAATGACATATTAACACGACACTCTAATGACCCGACACTCTAATGACACATTAGCACGACACTCTAATGACACATTAACACGACACTCTAATGATACATTAACACGACACTCTAATGACACATTAACACGACACTCTAATGACACATTAATACGACACTCTAATGACACATTAACTCAACACTCTAATGACACAATAACACAACACTCTTATGACACATTAGCACGACACTCTAATGACACATTAAAACGACACTCTAATGACACATTAACACGACACTCTAATGACACATTAAAACGACACTCCAATGACACTCGTCTACCCCACCAAATTGATTTGTCCACACTTCACATTAATTTGTGCACTTTTTACAAAAATTGTCCATATCTCACCTTACAAATTTGTCCACATATCACGACATGAATTTGTCCACATTTCACGACATGAATTCTTCCACATTTCACGACATTAATATTTTACGACATGAATTTGTCCACATTTCACGACATGAATTTGTCCATATTTCACGACATTAATATTTTACGACATGAATTTATCCACATTTCACGACATTAATTTGTCCACATTTCACGACATGAATTTGTCCACATTTCACGACATTAATTTGTCCACATTTCACGACTTAATGTACATATCGTCAGAAAGAAATGAACCCTGTAGTTACCTGAAGAAATGAAAATTCCCCCTACTTGAGTCTTGTCTATTTGAGGGGTGGTTGATGGGAACCTCGGCACCCCCGGGCCCACATCAGTTCTCTGATCAGCCCGTGCACGTGCGACGGTACTCACCAGCGCGCGCGCGAGAGGGAGGTAACGGCGCTGTAGCAGACAACACAGCTGCTTTGTTATCACTCAATGATGGATTTATCTGCCCTTGATACACATGTTTTTTATACGGAAATGTTTTTGTTAGAGATACATCTATAACCTACATGAAATACGTACACACAAGTGCTCACATTCACACACCTGCACCTAGTGTAGAGTGAGGGGAGGGGGTGGAGGGCTGACAGGCACGGGGGTTAAGAGATCAACTGTCAACTCATTAAAGCCGAGCTCTGGTACAGGTAAGAGCATGAGTGGGGGGAGGGGGGGTATGTTACCGCATGCACTGACCGTAACTTCCCCCTAACGTTATGTAAATATTGCTCAACAAATGTCTGACACACACAGCAGACAAATTCAAATTTATTCAAATTTATTCAAATTTATTCAAACAACGGTTACAATTGTAGGCACAAAGGCCTTTTTTCACATTGGCCGTTCAAACAAATAAAACAATTCAATAACACATAGCAGTAACAACATAGCACTAAAAATGTGGAATAAAGAAACAATGTTACATAGCTATCATACATAATGAGATAAAAAAGAGAATATAATAGATGAATGAGAAATGTTACAATGAGTCAGTTAGGTCATTAAATAGTTTTAGTTTTAGTTTAGATTTGAACATATTTTCAGATCTAGATAGCTTTATTTTATTAGGAAGATTGTTCCACAAATTAGAACCAGAGTAGGCGAAGCTATGTTTTTGGAAAAAGGTTGAATAAGGGAATGGTAAATTAAGACGGCGATTTAATTTTATGTTAAAAGAAAATAGATTTGACAAGTAAGAGGGGGCTGTTTCGTGGAATATTTTATATAAGAAAATTGATTTAGTATATATTATCTTTTTATTTAATGGAAGGATTTTAGTTGTAAGAAAGGAATCCAGACTACTAGACAAGCCAGTAACCAGTTTTATAGCCCTTTTTTGTAAAGAAAGAAGAGGACGCTGCTTAGTTATAAAGCTGCCGCTCCACACTACAGAAGCATAATCCAACCTGGATTGAATAAAAGCCTCATAAAAAACCAGCCTGCTCCTATAGTTGAGAAAGTTTTTTATCCTTGCTAATTGAAAGGTTGTCTTTAATAAGGACATTCTTAGAAAATGAATATGGTCAGACCAAGTGAGGTTGTGATCTATAAACAATCCTAGGCATTTGTAACCTTCTACCTGTTCAATTTTTGAATTGTCTATAGTAATGTTTAATGCGGTGGATGGAAGACGAAGGCGTTTTTGATGAGTTGTAATAAACATTGACTTGGTTTTATCGGGGTGAAGTTTCATTTTGTTCAATTTTGTCCAAGTAGCAAGCTGATTGGCACACGTTTGAAGTTTGTAACTGAGTGACTCAGCACTGTCTGCAAAGACATGTAAAGAAGTATCATCAGCGAACATCTCGCACTGACCAGCGTCAATGTGTAATGGAAGATCATTAATGTATAAAGAAAAAAGTAAAGGACCTAAGATTGAGCCCTGTGGAACCCCTATATTAACATATTTCTGTGAAGAGATGTTATTAAGGTGAAACACGCGTTGAGATCGGTTAGATAAAAAGGAGTGAAGTAACCTAACTGTAAAGTCGTGGAATTTGTATGGAATTAGTTTTTTAAGAAGAATGCTGTGATCAATAGAATCAAAGGCTTTTCTGAAATCGACAAACAGCGAGCCACAGAGTAGGTTATTGTTAATATTTTTAAGCCAGTTTTCATTCATCTTTATCAAAGCAGTGTGACAAGAATGAAACTTTCTAAACCCAGACTGATTACTATGGAAAAGTTTATGCTTTTCTAGGTAGTTTGACATGAATTTGTTTATATGTATTTCTAGTGGCTTGGAGAGGGATGAAAGTATAGCAATTGGCCTGTAGTTATTAGCATCTTGGATGTTACCTTTTTTGTGTAGTGGTATAACTTTAGCATGCTTAAAATGTGTCGGGTAATAATGCTTGGCAATACAGAGGTTATAAGAAAGTCTGTTTGTTGCAGTAGTACGATGTTCGTGGGCCATTGGCAAGTTTTTGGGCCATCCGTAGATAGGTTTTCTTGGGCCACTAGTTTATTGTTCTTGGGCCACTGACAGGCTTTTGGCCATCTGTAAATAGGTTTGCTTGGGCCACTAGTTTATTGTTCTTGGGCCACTGACCAGCTTTTGGGCCATGTGTAAGGCGCTTGTTCAATAACTAACAGGCAGAAAATATTAGGAAGATACTTTAGCAATGTAATCGACTACTACAGAACTCAGTAACATAAAAAAGACTATTGCAGAACTCAATAACGTAATCGACTACTGCAGAACTCCGTTACGTAATCGACCACAACAACATTTAAAAGCAGACACCAGCCAGAGGCAATTGATAGAAAAAAACAATTTGATATTTTTTTGGTTTGACTACATTTATAGTTTAACAGCAGTAACAGACCTGCCGCTGAATACGTGCATAGTAGGCCCCAAGGGCATTTATACACACACATATATATATATATATATATATATATATATATATATATATATATATATATATATATATATGTGAGAGTCAGTGAGTCAATAAGTGTATGTGCGTTTGAATACCAACTATCTAGACAAGGGACATAATAACTGAGATAAAAACACAAGATCCTGGCAACTACACTGACCTTCATTATTTGCGGAAAGTTCAGGAACGACAATCCTTCACTGTGGCCTTTTCAAGGGGACTGGCAAGATAAGGGCGATAACTTGGGCATCAAGAATATGTCGCTTGTTGTTTCCCCTGGTTGCAGACAAAAAGCCGTGGTTGGCCCAGGGGGGAGAACTGTAGCCTGCTTTAATGTTGGCCCGTAGAGGCTGAGCCGTACTCACACAGGGAACAATGGTGGCGTGTGAGCCAACAGGGCCATTGTGTTAGGTCACGTGATACGGTAACTTGCAAAGGTCAAAGTTTGGGGTAAAAAGCGAGAATTTCGATCACAAAATGTTGGGAAAATAATCTCATTAACTTTGATGGTTCATCGTTTAGTGTACTGGTAATCTCATTAAATACCGCGTTTGTTGGTTGGTTTAGTGAGATATCTCATTAAATACCGCGTTTGTTGGTTTAGTGAGTTATCTCATTAATACTGTTTGTTGGTTGGATTAGTGAGTTATCTCATTAAATACTGTGTTGGTTGGTTTAGTGAGATATCTCATTAAATACCGCGTTTGTTGGTTGGTTTAGTGAGATATCTCATTAAATACCTCATTTGTTGGTTGGTTTAGCGAGTTATCTCATTAAATACCTCGTTTGTTGGTTGGTTTAGCGAGTTATCTCATTAAATACCTCGTTTGTTGGTTGGTTTAGTGAGTTATCTCATTCACAGCTGTAGTTGGATGAGGTATCTCATCGATTGCTACAGTAAACCCTCTAATAACGATCTCACTGTGAACATGTCAATATCTCACTACTTACTACAGATGACTAATTTATTTGACAAATTAATTCAATAAGTGTCAGTCGTACTTCTAAATGGGTCCTTTATCTCACTAATTGTGTTAGTTATCTAATTAAATTCGACGAAATAAGATATTATTAATTAGTTTAATATTATTAATATTATTCTACTATGTACATTTTCAATAATCAAATAACAAAACTTTATTTTATAACGGTAGCTATAGATGGCACAGAGGCCTTTTCAGAGTTTCTTCCAGGCATCTCTTCGGGGGGGGGGGGGGCTTTGCCCCCCCGAAAATTTTTTACCGCCCCCCCCCCCCCGAACGAAATGAAATTTATATAATTTATATAGAAAATATATACTTTTAACAGTGTCCACCCCCCCCGAAGAAAGTTTACCGCCCCCCCGAAGATTTCAAGTGCCCCCCCCCGTAGAAAAAAGTCTGGAAGAAACACTGCTTTTCATTCCAATTGGCCGTTATTTTAGAATATCAAAAACATTTGAATAAAAATATCTACATTATAAAGACTAGCAGTAAAAATGTGGAATAAAGAAATAATATTTACATAGTTATAATATAAAGTTGAATAAAATGAGAATGTAATAGATGAATGAAAAATGTTGAGATGATTCAGTTAAAGGGGTGATGAAATAGACGAATTGTATACATTATGGTTGCCATTGGAACAGTTCAACACACTAAGAGATCAAATATTTTATTCAGCAACAAAATCAACAAATTTGAGCAAGGAAAATAACGAGGTGCTTTTAACAGAGAAATCGTTGGTGGTGTTTAGGGCAAGGATAGACTGACACAACATTAAGGCAAGAACTCTATCATACATCAGTCAACTTTATCAAAGTAACATCAGTCAACTTTATCAAAGTAACATCAGTCAACTTTATCAAAGTAACATGCTGCAGTCAACTTTATCAAAGTAACATCAGTCAACTTTATCAAAGTAACATCAGTCAACTTTATCAAAGTAACAACAGTCAACTTTATCAAAGTAACATGCATTGGTCCAGGCTGTTTGAAAAGATCTTGTCTACTTCAAGAAGAAATGCCTACCTTGATTTCTTTAGTTAATAGGCGGACCTAGCTTTTCAGTTTTAGGGAGGGGGGGTGGGGAAGGAGGGGGAGGGCCTGAATATAAGCAAATAATGTCCCTCTTGAGATTCACCCTTAGATGTAAAAATGTAGATTAAAAAAGTTAAGAACATAGAACATATCACAATTTCAGATAACACATTTTTAACTTTTTAACTCCCCCCCCCCCCACAATGTATTTATGTGTGTGTGGGGTGTGGGGTGGAGTACTTAACCTCCTGAGGGCACCATAAGATCTGCCTACGCCTGTACTTTTGAGTAAACTACCTGTACGTTATTACATTACACCAAAATATAGGGTGAAGACCTTAATATAGTGTGTAGACCAACACATACAATAGTGTGTAGACCAACACATACAATAGTGTGTAGACCAACACATACAATAGTGTGTAGACCAACACATACAATAGTGTGTAGACCAACACATACAATAGTGTGTAGACCAACACATACAATAGTGTGTAGACCAACACATACAATAGTGTGTAGACCAACACATACAATAGTGTGTAGACCAACACATACAATAGTGTGTAGACCAACACATACAATAGTGTGTAGACCAACACATACAATAGTGTGTAGACCAACACATACAATAGTGTGTAGACTAAAACATACAATAGTGTGTAGACCAAGACATACAATAGTGTGTAGACCAACACATACAATAGTGTGTAGACCAACACATACAATAGTGTGTAGACCAAGACATACAATAGTGTGTAGACCAACACATACAATAGTGTGTAGACCAACACATACAATAGTGTGTAGACCAACACATACAATAGTGTGTAGACCAACACATAATATAGTGTGTAGACCAAGACATACAATAGTGTGTAGACCAACACATACAATAGTGTGTAGACCAACACATACAATAGTGTGTAGACCAACACATACAATAGTGTGTAGACCAACACATACAATAGTGTGTAGACCAACACATACAATAGTGTGTAGACTAAAACATACAATAGTGTGTAGACCAAGACATACAATAGTGTGTAGACCAACACATACAATAGTGTGTAGACCAACACATACAATAGTGTGTAGACCAAGACATACAATAGTGTGTAGACCAACACATACAATAGTGTGTAGACCAACACATACAATAGTGTGTAGACCAACACATACAATAGTGTGTAGACCAACACATAATATAGTGTGTAGACCAAGACATACAATAGTGTGTAGACCAACACATACAATAGTGTGTAGACCAACACATACAATAGTGTGTAGACCAACACATACAATAGTGTGTAGACCAACACATACAATAGTGTGTAGACCAACACATACAATAGTGTGTAGACCATAATATAGTGTGTAGACCAACACATAATATAGTGTGTAGACCAACACATACAATAGTGTGTAGACCAAGACATACAATAGTGTGTAGACCAAGACATACAATAGTGTGTAGACCAACACATACAATAGTGTGTAGACCAACACATACAATAGTGTGTAGACCAACACATACAATAGTGTGTAGACCAACACATACAATAGTGTGTAGACCAACACATACAATAGTGTGTAGACCAACACATACAATAGTGTGTAGACCAACACATACAATAGTGTGTAGACCAACACATACAATAGTGTGTAGACCAACACATACAATAGTGTGTAGACCAACACATACAATAGTGTGTAGACCATAATATAGTGTGTAGACCAACACATAATATAGTGTGTAGACCAACACATACAATAGTGTGTAGACCAAGACATACAATAGTGTGTAGACCAACACATACAATAGTGTGTAGACCAACACATACAATAGTGTGTAGACCAACACATACAATAGTGTGTAGACCAACACATACAATAGTGTGTAGACCAACACATACAATAGTGTGTAGACCAACACATACAATAGTGTGTAGATCATAATATAGTGTGTAGACCAACACATAATATAGTGTGTAGACCAACACATACAATAGTGTGTAGACCAACACATACAATAGTATGTAGACCAACACATAATATAGTGTGTAGACCAACACATACAATAGTGTGTAGACCAACACATAATATAGTGTGTAGACAGAAAGTTTCCAGTAGTCACTGTGCAGAAAGACATCAACATCTACAAAGATAGGGGTGGCAGTGAGCAAATTTAAAGATACTAAAAAAGTGAGAGTTGACTGACTGACTATGTTGTCACAAGATAGTTGTCACAAGATAGTTGTCACAAGATAGTTAGCATATAACTGTTGTCCTACTATTAATTTCAGAAGATTATATTGGCAGAAGATTATATTGGCAGTAGATTATTGCCACAAGACTGGTTTTTAATCAATAAAAACACAAGTTCAAATCCAAGAGTGACCTAAAGACAAAGTAAAAAATTCCATCAACTAGATTCTAAGTGGAACAAAACACAAAATCTGACACATCTTTGAGAACATTTTGCTGCCATTAAATGAGTTTGTGCCACTGACCTATCCTGATCTAATTACATTACAAATTAATGGAAAAGATATGAAATAATTGTAAAAGCCATGAAATGATTGACTATTTGCATGCCATTAAAGAATATTCAAAGCTAATTATAAATACATTATTGCTTAAGTTTAGAAGTAATATTTATAGGAACTAATTAGTGTTAAGAAAAATGTGAAGAGTTTTTGCGTCTATCAAAATTTAAGGGCTTAGTTTATCTTTTTGTCCTCCAAGAAAATATTTTTGAAGAAATGTTTGTGTAGGAAAACTACTGGCTTCGTTTGTCTTTTTTGTCTTTAAGGAAAATATTTTTCCTGCTGAGTGTGAGCCGCCGCTCCAACTGGCCGTCTTTTTCATCTTTGGCCAGCCACTTTTTACACACAAAGTAATATTCTTCATACACTGGCAGCTGGGGAGGGACAAAACCACACATTCATTTTACATTAGAGAAAAACTGGCTGGATTCATTCAATCATACAATTAGCAACATTACGGGATGGTGGGGCCTAGCAGTAGAAAGTGCTAGACTGCTAACCCAAAAGTCTGGAGTTCAAATCTGGCTTCAAGTCATTAAAACATTCCTGAGTCCACCCAGCTCTGATTAGTGCATACCTTAAGTTAGGGAAAGTAAAGGCAGCTGGGCATTAAATTATATTACCTGTAAATGTCTTACCTTATGTTACCTGTAAATGACCTATATTATATTACCTGTAAATAATTAACCTTGTTACCTGTAAATGACTTACCTTCACAACTTTTCCATCAACATCAAACACATCTTTGTATACAACACCATCAGTATCTTCATCATCCTCATCACTTTCCTCTTCATCATCATCTGCGTCCAGTGAACCTTCCTTGATTTTCTCTGACAGACGTTTTTTATGCAAATGTTTTGGGTTGTGGCTTTTTTTCAAATTCTTCAAAAATGTTGTGATCTCCCCTTTAGTCAGGTATTTTCTAACTGTCACCTGGAAAAGTAAATGATGTTCATGTGACTGTCTAGATCTAACAGCCAGACCTGGCTGATGCATGTCTAAGTATTGTCTAGATCTAACAGCCAGATCTGAGTGATGCGTGTCTATGTTTATGTTAGCTGAGGGTTCAGGTCGATGGTTTCTGTTCTTTATGTGGTTCCATGTTTTATAAAGAATTTAGTTTGTTTTAAAAGTAATCTGGGTTGAACTATCAGTTTGCCAGTCATGTAGACAGACAGTCAGCTTTAGAAAAAAAAAATGGACTCACATCTTCACAAAACCAGCCAGCGCCAGGCCCTGAGTTGTCGTGGCCAATACAAATGGACTTGATGGGTCCTGTGTTGGGGGCAGTTAGCTAGAGGAGAGAACAGCCGCAAACATTTTAATTTGATTTAGTTACAGTATCATCTTAACATATGATTCATGGTGTAAGAAACAATTTTAATTTGATGCAGTTACAGCATCATCTCAACATATGATCCATGGTGTAAGAAACGATTTGCTGTTGCTAAAAACATGACAATATCTGACATAATTGTTACTAAAAAACCAAAGTTTTCTCCCTTACTTGAAATGTCTCAGTTGTCCCCCTTTCAAAGTTGTTCCTAGCATCGTCCATAAAGAGTTTTTTTGTTTTTCCCTTTTGGCCCTGAATTTTAATGTAGACATTGGCATCAGTCCCTGCATATTTCACGTCTCCAGTTTTAACTGTCACCTCATATCTGATGGGTTTTTCTGAGATTAGACAATTTATTCATGTCTACATTTTTTACATTAAAAAATATTTAATTATACCCGTCCGTGTAAATTATATTTATTTTTAGAACAAAAAACAATATTTAAAGACATGCATGTGAAAATTTGATATAATTTTATTCATCAAAATTTCAGAAGCTAAAAGTGTTGGTAGTTTTATGGTTTACAATTTCACCCTTTGATGTACAGATTATTATATTGGTTATCTCCCTTGCTCTTTGAAATAAAATTATTGGGAAACATAAGGGTATTTGAAGATTCGGGTTAAGTTAAGATACATGAACAACAAACAACAGAAATCCTTAAGTTCAAATTGATTTCTTAAACAGAAAGCAAAAATTAAAATAAATGGCGCTACTGATCTGTCAGTTAAAGACACCAAAAGTAAAGTTTACAAATAGCTGGGTGGAAGCTAAAGACACCAAAAGTAAAGTTTACAAATAGCTGTGTGGAAACTAAAGACACCAAAAGTAAAGTTTACAAATAGCTGTGTGGAAGCTAAAGACACCAAAAATGAAGTTTACAAATAGCTGTGTGGGAACTAAAGACACCAAAAGTAAAGTTTACAAATAGCTGTGTGGAAACTAAAGACACCAAAAGTAAAGTTTACAAATAGCTGTGTGGAAGCTAAAGACACCAAAAATGAAGTTTACAAATAGCTGTGTGGGAACTAAAGACACCAAAAGTAAAGTTTACAAATAGCTGTGTGGAAACTAAAGATACCAAAAGTAAAGTTTACAAATAGCTGTGTGGGAACTAAAGACACCAAAAGTAAAGTTTACAAATAGCTGTGTGGAAACTAAAGACACCAAAAGTAAAGTTTACAAATAGCTGTGTGGGAACTAAAGACACCAAAAGTAAAGTTTGCAAATAGCTGGGTGGGAACTAAAGACACCAAAAGTAAAGTTTACAAATAGCTGTGTGGAAACTAAAGACACCAAAAGTAAAGTTTACAAATAGCTGTGTGGAAACTAAAGACACAAAAAGTAAAGTTTACAAATAGCTGTGTGGAAGCTAATGACACCAAAAGTAAAGTTTACAAATAGCTGTGTGGAAGCTAAAGACACCAAAAGTAAAGTTTACAAATAGCTGTGTGGAAACTAAATAAATCAAAAGTAAAGTGACTACTCTATGAACTTTAAAATCTAAAATATTTTAAACTAAGACAAAATTTAAGTAAACAATAATTAATGTTGAGTAATGAAAAAAAAATTGTAAGCAAACACTAGTGGCCATAGAATTGAAACAAAACTTCCAACAACAACCTTCTTCCTTCACTGCAATATTGGAAGCTGCAGAGAGGCAACACATGTCAATACAGTTATCTTTCATATTTGTTTGGTGAAATAAAAAAAACGACAACTGACTGCATAAAAACTTGGATTTAAGAAATTCTTTTGAATGTGGTATTCTTTAAGAAATTCTTTTGAATGTGGTATTTATTGTGTAAGAATTTTTTAAAAATGTTTTATTATGTAAGCAAATTTTTTGAATGTATTACCCCGTATGTAACATTTTGTCTTCTTTAAAAAAAATAGAGAAACATACCTGTAGAAAGTTTGACTAAAGGTTTTTTGTGAGCAAAGATTAAAACATACCTGTAGAAACTTTGACTAAAGGTTTTTTGTGAGCAAAGATTTTTCTCCACAGCAAGCCATTTCCTTCATCTTTAGACAACCAATCATTGCACAGGAACTCATACACACAATCAGGCTGCTCTATGTCCACAAGTGTGACCTGGACACACATTTGTTAACTTGGGGTTAATTCATCAAGTTTGGGTGGATTTGTTGTTATGTTAGGGTCATTTTGTGAAGTTAGGAATATTTGTTAGTTTTGGAATATTTTGATATGTTTGGGTCATTTTGGTACATTTGAGTCATTTTGTTGAGTAATGGTCATTTTTTTTGGGGTTATTTTGTTGGGGATATTTTGGTGACATCAGAAGCTACAGGTGACAGATGAAGCTACAGGTGACAGATGAAGCTACAGGTGACAGATGAAGCTACAGGTGACAGATGAAGCTACAGGTGACAGATGAAGCTACAGGTGACAGATGAAGCTACAGGTGACAGATGAAGCTACAGGTGACAGATGAAGCTACAGGTGACAGATGAAGCTACAGGTGACAGATGAAGCTACAGGTGACAGATGAAGCTACAGGTGATAGATGAAGCTTCAGGTGACAGATGAAGCCATAGTTTGAGCTGGACTCACCTTTTTTAAAAACCATCCCGGAGCGAGACCTTTCCCATCATGCTCTATTCTGTTGACATGGAAAATAAAAAACTTATCAGATACATATTGATGTAGCTAACGTACAAGGCTTGGTTTGGTCTGTGAAACACAGGAAAAAGTTTAGCTAGGGTTGGTGAACTGAACACATGAGAAAGGTTGGTTTGGATTAATTTCATGTTGATCTAGAATCTCAGGTCAGAATAAGTTTAAGTAGCTGGAACTGGAGACTGGTGGACTCACCACAAAAACCCAGAAAAGTTTTCTTCTGAATTTTTATTTCTGGATGGATAAGACAGCCTAAAGGCTAAGTTAAGCATGCAAAGGGTTAACTAGTACAATGAAAGGGTTAACTAGTACAATTAAAGGGTTAACTAGTACAATGAAAGGGTTAACTAGTACAATTAAAGGGTTAACTAGTGCAATGAAAGGGTTGATGCTACCTTACCGTAAAGCTTTGATTTCCCCTATGCTAGGGAAATGGACAGGAAACTCATCGACACTTTTCCTCTGAAAATATTTTTTTTTAGGGTTGAGAAGTTGAAGCTTGGGAGAAACCTGGTCGGTGCCGTACAGCGTGACAAACACATTGGAGTCAGTTCCAGAGAAATGCTTGCTCCCAGTTTTTATGGTGAGCTTGTAGTCTGGGGGGAAAACATTCCACTAACAGTTGTTTACATTTTTAAACTGCTGAAAACTATGACACAGCTATTTAGGATACAAATTTGAATCAGATAAAATGTGATATTGTTTTTTCCAACCAAACCTTTTGGCTTTCTTTCTATGTAGCTGGCCATCAAATCCCGCTTGGTCAGGTAGTCACCAATGAAGAGAGAGAGCCAGTTGTGGCAAGTGAAGAGCCACTTCTTCAAGGTCTTCATGCAGGTCACCTCCACCTTCTCACAGAACCAGCTCTGGTCTTTCTGGACCCCGTCGTTCTGCAGTAGGGGGGGGGGGGAACTTTTCTGGTCATTTCTACTTTCTACTTGTGTACATTATAGACATTTCTACTTTCTACTTGTGTACATTATAGACATTTCTACTTTCTACTTCTGTACATTATAGATATTTCTACTTGTGTACATTATAGACATTTCAACTTTCTACTTGTGCACATTATAGACATTTCTACTTTCTACTTGTGTACATTATAGACATTTCAACTTTCTACTTGTGTACATTATAGACATTTCAACTTTCTACTTGTGTACATAATAGACATTTCTACTTTCTACTTGTGTACATAATAGACATTTCTACTTTCTACTTGTGCACATTATAGACATTTCAACTTTCTACTTGTGTACATAATAGACATTTCTACTTTCTACTTGTGTACATAATAGACATTTCTACTTTCTACTTGTGTACATTATAGACATTTCTACTTTCTACTTATGTACATAATAGACATTTCTACTTTCTACTTGTGTTTAGACCTTACCTCAGTGGTCAAAATTTCCAAGTTACCAAGGTTTGGACCTTACCTCAATGGTCAAAATTTCCAAGTTACCAAGGTTTGGACCTTACCTCAGTGGTCAAAATTTCCAAGTTACCAAGGTTTGGACCTTACCTCAATGGTCAAAATTTCCAAGTTACCAAGGTTTGGACCTTACCTCAATGGTCAAAATTTCCAAGTTACCAAGGTTTGGACCTTACCTCAGTGGTCAAAATTTCCAAGTTACCAAGGTTTGGACCTTACCTCAATGGTCAAAATTTCCAAGTTACCAAGGTTTGGACCTTACCTCAGTGGTCAAAATTTCCAAGTTACCAAGGTTTGGACCTTACCTCAATGGTCAAAATTTCCAAGTTACCAAGATTTGGTCCTTTGATGAAGAAACTTTCACATGAGCCTTGGACAAATGGAAATTTTCTTTTTGAGCTTCCTCTAAATAGCCTGGTTTTGTGGAGGATGTTTTTAGCTCCTTTAATGGTGACAAATATCTGCAACAATGGTGGACCATATAATAATGGCGCAATAATCTCCAGGATGCTGAATAAAAAAACTTGGTATAGAACAATTAAAATTATGATATACCAATTTATCACTTTCACAAAAATTTCTGCTTGATTGTATTGGGACATGATATGATCATCACTGACTTATATTAGCATCAGTTGTTGCCCCTGCCTTACATTACCACAAGTTGTTGCCCCTGCCTTATATTACCACAAATTGCTACTCCTGCCTTACATTAGCATCAGTTGCTGCACCTGTCTTACATTACCACAAGTTGTTGCCCCTGCCTTACATTACCACAAGTTGCTGCCCCTGCCTTACATTACCAGAAGTTGCTGCCCTTGCCTACATCAGCATCAGTTGCTGCCCCTGCCTTATATTAGCATCAGTTGTTGCCCCTGCCTTACGTTAGCATCAGTTGTAGCCCCTGCCTTACATTACCACAAGTTGCTGCCCTTGCCTTACATTAGCATCAGTGGTTCCCCCTGCCTTACATTACCACAAGTTGTTGCCCCTGCCTTACATTAGCATCAGTTGTTGCCCCTGCCTTACATTACCACAAGTTGCTGCCCCTGCCTTAGGTTACTACAAGTTGTTGCCCCTGCCTTACATTACCACAAGTTGTTGCCCCTGCTTTACATTACCACAAGTTGTTGCCCCTGCCTTATATTACCACAAATTGCTACTCCTACCTTACATTAGCATCAGTTGCTGCCCCTGCCTTACATTACCACAAGTTGCTGCCCCTGCCTTACATTACCACAAGTTGTTGCCCCTGCCTTACATTAGCATCAGTTGTTGCCCCTGCCTTACATTACCACAAGTTGTTGCCCCTGCCTTACATTAGCATCAGTTGTTGCCCCTGCCTTACATTACCACAAGTTGCTGCCCCTGCCTTAGGTTACTACAAGTTGTTGCCCCTGCCTTACATTACCACAAGTTGTTGCCCCTGCCTTAGATTACCACAAGTTGTTGCCCCTGCCTTACATTACCACAAGTTGCTTCCCCTGCCTTACATTAGCATCAGTTGTTGCCCCTGTCTTACATTACCACAAGTTGCTGCCCCTGCCTTACATTAGCATCAGTTGTTGCCCCTGCCTTACATTAGCATCAGTTGCTGCCCCTGCCTTACATTACCACAAGTTGCTGCCCCTGCCTTAGATTACCACAAGTTGTTGCCCCTGCCTTACATTAGCATCAGTTGCTGCCCCTGCCTTACATTAGCATCAGTTGTTGCCCCTGCCTTACATTAGCATCAGTTGCTGCCCCTGCCTTACATTACCACAAGTTGCTGCCCCTGCCTTAGATTACCACAAGTTGTTGCCCCTGCCTTACATTAGCATCAGTTGCTGCCCCTGCCTTACATTAGCATCAGTTGTTGCCCCTGCCTTACATTACCACAAGTTGCTGCCCCTGCCTTACATTAGCATCAGTTGCTGCCCCTGCCTTACATTACCACAAGTTGCTGCCCCTGCCTTAGATTACCACAAGTTGTTGCCCCTGCCTTACATTAGCATCAGTTGTTGCCCCTGCCTTACATAAGCATCAGTTGTTGCCCCTGCCTTACATTAGCATCAGTTGTTGCCCCTGCCTTACATAAGCATCAGTTGTTGCCCCTGCCTTACATTAGCATCAGTTGTTGCCCCTGCCACATCGCCTGTCCACACAACAACTCTGTAGGTCCTATGAAAGATTGGCTGAGGTTCTGGTTCCACAGGGGTTCTCACTCTGGGAGCTGGGGCCATGTACGGGATCTTCCTTGCTTTCTTTTCTTTGGGGTTAAAGGTCAGCTTCTAAACAAAATCAAGTTTTAAATATTATTACCATGAATGTTGTTTAACAAAAGTTGTCTTAAGGTCATGCTTGTGCAAACATTATACCAATAAAACTCAGTCATTACATCTACAACAAAACTCAATCATTACATCTACAATACTTAAGGTCATTATGTCTACAGTACCACTAAAGGTCATTACATCTACAGTACCTCCCAGGGTCAATGACCCACAGTACTTTCGAGGGTCAATGACCCCATCAAATCTAAACTCTCACCAGATGTTTCTGATGTTCCTCTAATGTATGACACAGATAGCAGAAGTTGACTGGACCTGACGGAGACAAGAGTCATAAGTCAGGACAAGAGTCATAAGTCAGGACAAGAACATAATGCAAAATAATAAGAATTTTCAACAACAAGTTCACTGTTATTTTAACTTGAAAGTAATAAATAAAATTTTCTTTTTCAAATGTATTATCAACCACTGATTATTTTTCCTTATTTTATTGTTATATGCAGACATTTTCATGGACACTTGTGCAATACTGACAGAGCTATAATACTGAATGCCAGTGAGAATTACTATCACCTGATAGAGCTATAATACTGAATGCCTGTGAGAATTACCATCACCTGATACAGCTATAATACTGTAGTCAAAAATGACCATCACCTGATTGAGTTGAGGATACATCATCATCAAATGTGGATCTGCTAGGGGTGCTCAAAGTTTCTCTTGGTGCAAACATCACACTCAAGTCCTGCCTAGAATCTTTTGTAAAAATAAATCTTTGTCATTTCAATGATACTCAAATGGTGGTGTTCCTAATTTAATAACAGGGAACCAAAGTCATAGAATCACTATCACACAAAGACAGCTCTAATCACATGATTGTCCTAACATAACCCTTAAAGTTTAATCTAATACACTAAGCTAATTTTAACTATTTCACACAAGAGAAAATACTTGGCTCTGTGGCATGTTACGACAAAATCTTACATGATGTCTATGTTTTTGGCTTGATAAACAACTATCAATGCTTTTAATTCTAAGTCTTCTTATTTAAAATTATAGTTTAAACAATTAAAGCCTGTCATTTGCATGATTTTTACACAATTAAAGAAGTAGTTAAAACAAATTTATTTATGAACAATTACCGTGGGAGAATTGTTGAAGAACCATTTTTTAATTAGTACTTTTCAAATTTGCCTTTATTTTAACCTTTAAAATTTTGTATTAACAGCTCCCAGAAACTGAACCTCAAGCAACAGCATAAAAAAGTACGTAATCTTTTCTGTGTTTACCTAAAATTGTGCCACCCCATTCCAATTAAGAAAGCAAATATTTTGTTTGTTATTTCAATTATAGAAAAGAAAAGAACTTTTAAGAATCTTTTAAAACTAAAATGAAATAAATCAATTCTCATCAAGGAAGGTATTGTAAAATATTTCAGTTTTACAGTAATGATGGCAAAGGCTGAACTTAATTACAAAATTACACAGAATAATTAAGAGCCTTTTTTAGAATAAATGTTCCATTACCACTGGGTGACATATTTGATTCTTCTCGTGAAGAGTGGTAGCTGGTTGGTGCACTTTTAACCCTCTCAAGCCATTCAAGATTCTCTTTTGTCACTTGGCACAGTTCATTCAAAGAATCACTATAGAGCTGAAATAGACATCAGTCTAGGTTCTTCAGGGAACAATCACTGATGGTTGGGTGGGTCAAATATTTAGGCTATATGCATTGAAAGTTTCATTTTTTTATTTATATTACTACATAATAAGCTGCGTTGTGATTAAAATAAGCCAGTACTGTAGCCTGAGGGGGGGGGAGTGCCACCACATAGGGGTCATCCATAAATGACGTCACACTCGTAGGGGGGAGGGGGGGTCTGTAATTTTGTGACGATGTGTGATGAGGGGGAGGGGGGGAGGTAAAAATCGTCAAAAAAAGCGTGACGTCATTTATGGATGACCCCATAGCCAGCCAGGTAAAAATAACTTTTGCCAACCAAAGTTTGATACATCAACATAACAGTTCATGAACAACTGATAGAATTTTTCATACTATAAAAATAGTAGAGCAGATAAACTTGAGTTCATTTTTTTATTGCAGATTATGGGTAGTGTGTAGTCTGAACCCAGCAATGTTTAATGACCCAGGTACTTTAGCCAGCAACCTACAATGTCCCAGGTACTTTACCCAGCAACCTACAATGTCCCAGTTAGTTTACCCAGCAACCTACAATCTCCCAGGTACTTTACCTAGCAACCTACAATGTCCCAGGTACTTTACCCAGCAACATTAAATACCCTTAGCTTGAGTCCATTAGGGTGATCTACAAGTGATTTTCTACAGAAGATTTGGTAAGATTAAATTGCAGGATATCATCCCATATAGCCAATATTCACAAAGTACAATACCCAAAACCTAATTGCCAGACCTGCAAACTATGAGTAAACGTTTTCAAGATCAAGAACACAGTTTAGAATATTTTGAATTTTTAAAAAAAGCCAAGAATTTTCTAACACTATTATTATTATTATTAGCGCAATTTCCATTCTGGAGAATTGCGTTTATTAACCCATCTTTTCTGGGAATGGATGAATGGATGGATGTGTGTCCGCAGCTTTAAGTCGTATCTCCTCCTCAACGAAGCAATATCGAGGACTAGTTCCAAAAGCAATTATGTTAAGCAAGTTACGAGGAAGAACATAAGCAAAAAAAATTCACGGTTTCTTTCATGGATTTCCCGGAAAAGCCAAAAAACCATTTAAAAAATGCAGTTTTTGGCCCATATCTTGGCAACCAAACCACTTAGCGACTTGAAACATGTACCAATCGATTCCTGCCATAATTTAGAACAATATTGCCGAAGAAAGTTTTCAAAAATATCCTTTCGTTCGGTCACAAAATTTTTTTTGAATTAATTAAAATTTGGACCGAATTAGTAGGCATTTTTATCCAACCACACCACACGAGTCATCACGTTCAATAGCTGCGCCATCACGTTCAGTAGCTAGGCGCGCAATGGTTTTTAGTCATGTAACTCTATTGTAAATAAAATATGTATTTTAACCAATGGTTTTCCTAACCCTGCTTTTGATTTACGCTACGACAGAGCTATTTTTAGATAACATAAGGAAATTGCGCTAAAACTGTCACTAGACTTTTTAATTACCTTGTTTTTTTTTTGCAAGTACAACATTTTATGAAGTGTAATGTCAAAAATTAAATTACTTTTATTTTTGTGCTTTGTTAATTTTTGAAAGCATAACAAATTAAATTAAATCTCATATTTAATTCCACTACAAACTAAATCACTTAAACATTTTGTTTAACCAGCTGCTTTGAATAGGAATAAAATGAACATAATTATTTTCAATGTTATAAGACTTTCAGGGACATCATGGGTAGGCAGGAGAGCATATGATTTCTATGAGAAAACTTAAAAATTCGAAAAACTTTTTGCCTTGCAGATTGTTCTAAGGTGACAAAGGCGATGGAAGCAAATCCAGAAAAAAATGGCTCATGCGGAAATGTAGGCTTAATACTTAATTATGTTGGAAAAAATCCCTTTCAACTTTACAATTAAGAACAAAGAAGAAAAAAGACATTGTCTACATCATATAGTAGCTGATTTCCAATTTAAATTCTCTATTGAAAACCAATTTATTTCTTTACATTGTCTTTTTTATGTTTTAAAACAATATTAGTCACTTAGAAATACATTATTATTATTTAAAAACATGACAAACACAGCTGGGGTGGCATTTTTTGGGCCAGAACAGATTAATAGCATTTCAATTAATTTCAATGGAGAATAATCATTTTGAGATATTACCAAGATGACAGAATGAATTAAATTCATTTCTCAGGGTGGGTTACCACTTGGACTGTAGTATATGAGCACTATATTAGAAATACAGGCCCTAATTATTATTTAGATCAGTAAATTTTTATATTAGCCTACTACTTTACTACAAGGCCTTCTATTATAATATATAATAATTATTAATATTATGATATATATAGATGGCTTGGTGTTATTTCAACCAGCTTTAAAAAAATTATATATTATATTTTTAAAATATTATTTTTTATAAATGACGTATCGCTTTTTAAAAATTTGTACCTCCCCTTCCCCTCTATCACAAAAAGCCAGAGCCCCCCTACCCCCATAAAAAGATGTCACACCTAAACCTACATCAACCTCAAAATTGCAGTTTAATTTTTGTCAACATTGATTTCTTTCTAAAATCTTGACTGAAATAAGTAAACATACGGTATTTTGATCAATGTCTATTAGGGCTAGAAATAATCAATTTATTAAAACAGTTTTCTAAAATGCATGTGGCTGTGGTTAAAATTCAGCTTCTTAAATTATTTAGTAAAATGCAAAAGTATGATGTCCCACTATCTGAACCCCCACCCCCTCATCAAACATCATTGCAAAATTACTATCTTTCCCCCCTCCCCCTCATGAGTGTCAAATCATGTATTTTTTATAGATCTAGTAACTCAACCCCAAAACACATCTCTGGCAACATGATTTTAAAATTTAAATTATCACTAAAATAATGCAGTCATTAAATTTTAAAGATAATTACTTGTGTGTTTATAGGACCTGCCCAAGTATACTTGACGCGGGATGATCCGGTACTAGATCTAGATCTAGTGATCGTATGATCATGATGATCTTCTAAGTTGTGGAAACTTGGTAATGTCGAATGAAAGGGTGTATTTTGAAGAAAATAATTAGATATATCAATGTCCATCTTAGATTTAGACTCTAAATATTTAAAAAAATAAATTGTAAAATAGATAAATCCTGGAAGCTTTTTAGTAAAAATAATTAGATCTAAAATCTAAACTGATCATGCTCGTTAAAAAAGTAATCTACGAACGCGCCATGATGTTTACACTCGTTTCCCACGGAGAATTCACAAATTTATTTTTTTACATTGAAGAGGATAATAGTTTATGTGTTGTTTTTATTTTCTCGAAATATACCTAATCATGCAAAAAAATCGAAGTTGATATTTTCACAAATCTCGACGTTCTAAAAAAAAAAACAAAAAACAACATAGTTTTGCAATTTTGTCCGTATGTCTGTGTGTGTATCAGTGGCGTACCCAGGATCGTCTCATGGGGGGGGGGGGCTAAAATTTTTCCCATATATAATATATATAGGCATATATATATATATATATATATATATATATATATATATATATATATATATATATATATATATATATATATATATATATATATATAGTTACAGCTGGATTGATGAAATTTAATATATAAGTATTATGTATTATTTCAAATTTGGAGTTCTGTATCACCTTTTCAGCGATTTCCGGTAAACGAAAGTGGAACTGATTCTACTTTTGTTTTTTTCAAAAGCCTATAACTATAGATAAAAGAAATTTCACATATAAGTAAAACATCTAATTCTCTGCTTTCTGTGAAATTGTGAGTAATTTGCGTTGACAGAAAAAAGTACTTTACGCTATTTCCGATGTCTCAAAAAACGCAGATGAATTTATAAAGTACTAATATTCCGCACTATTATACAGGAGAGATAAATAAGGCTGATGAACAGGGCAGATGGACAGGGCAGATGGACAGGGCAGATGGACAGGGCAGATGAACAAAGAGTTGAACACAAGAGATAAGGCGAAGAATGGCTGCTAGATCAGTGGCTCTTTAGGCATCTTACCGGGGTAGGGGGGTGGGGGTAGAAAAGGGGAACCCCCTTTTCTGACGAAAATAGACTTATGTATAATATTTATATATATATATATATATATATATATATATATATATATATATATATATATATATATATATATATTGAGACCCATCCTTGTAAGTTTTAAGTACTCCCTCCACTTGAGTTTCATATATACCCCGGAGAACAAAAAGTCTGAAAGAAACCCTGCTACTCTCAGGTTTTCCGATAACGTCTCCACTAGTGTTGACGTCTCCCCTAGTGTTGACGTCTAACCTAGTGTTGACGTCTCCCCTAGTGTTGACGTCTAACCTAGTGTTGACGTCTAACCTAGTGTTGACGTCTAACCTAGTGTTGACGTCTCCCCTAGTGTTAACGTCTCCCCTAGTGTTGACGTCTCCCCTAGTGTTGACGTCTAACCTAGTGTTGACGTCTCCCCTAGTGTTGACGTCTCCCCTAGTGTTGACGTCTCCACTAGTGTTGATGTCTCCCCTAGTGTTGACGTCTCCCCTAATGTTGATGTCTAACCTAGTGTTGACGTCTAACCTAGTGTTGACGTCTCCCCTAGTGTTGACGTCTAACCTAGTGTTGACGTCTAACCTAGTGTTGACGTCTAACCTAGTGTTGACGTCTAACCTAGTGTTGACGTCTCCCCTAGTGTTGACGTCTCCACTAGTGTTGACGTCTAACCTAGTGTTGACGTCTCTACTAGTGTTGACGTCTCCACTAGTGTTGACGTCTAACCTAGTGTTGACGTCTCCCCTAGTGTTGACGTCTCCCCTAGTGTTGACGTCTCCCCTAGTGTTGACGTCTCCACTAGTGTTGACGTCTAACCTAGTGTTGACGTCTAACCTAGTGTTGACGTCTCCCCTAGTGTTGACGTCTCCCCTAGTGTTGACGTCTCCCCTAGTGTTGACGTCTCCACTAGTGTTGACGCAATGCCAGCCAGAAGCTGTGGTTGTAAAACTGAACGATAACGCCAATCAGAGACCGCCAAAATCGTTCACTGGTTCAATCTTTGCCCTCGGCTCTAATTGAACTCATTAAGTGGGATACAGAATCTAACTTTGGAGCTGCCATCTCCATTTTACCGCCATACACTGGCAATCACGTCATCGTTAATTTTTTCAGGCCTCGAGGTCAAATAGGTGATGCTTGTTGCTGCCCCGTGGCGTATCTAGGGTCAACTTTAATGTTGGCAGTTTTTTTAAAGAGTTTCATGTACGGCAGTCAACTTTAATGTTGGCAGTTTTTTTTTAAAGAGTTGCATGTACCGCAGTCAACATTAATGTTGGCAGTTTTTTAAAGAGTTGCATGTATGGCAGTCAACTTTAATGTTGGCAGTTTTTTTTTAAAAGAGTTTCATGTACGGCAGTCAACTTTAATGTTGGCAGTTTTTTTAAAGAGTTTCATGTACGGCAGTCAACTTTAATGTTGGCAGTTTTTTTTTAAAGAGTTGCATGTACCGCAGTCAACATTAATGTTGGCAGTTTTTTAAAGAGTTGCATGTATGGCAGTCAACTTTAATGTTGGCAGTTTTTTTTTAAAAGAGTTTCATGTACGGCAGTCAACTTTAATGTTGGCAGTTTTTTTAAAGAGTTTCATGTACGGCAGTCAACTTTAATGTTGGCAGTTTTTTTTTAAAGAGTTGCATGTACCGCAGTCAACATTAATGTTGGCAGTTTTTTAAAGAGTTGCATGTATGGCAGTCAACTTTAATGTTGGCAGTTTTTTTTTAAAAGAGTTTCATGTACGGCAGTCAACTTTAATGTTGGCAGTTTTTTTTAAAGAGTTGCATGTATGGCAGTCAACATTAATGTTGGCAGTTTTTTTCTAAAGAGTTTCATGTACCGCAGTCAACTTTAATGTTGGCAGTTTTTTTTTAAAGAGTTGCATGTACCGCAGTCAACATTAATGTTGGCAGTTTTTTTCTAAAGAGTTTCATGTACCGCAGTCAACTTTAATGTTGGCAGTTTTTTTTTAAAGAGTTGCATGTACCGCAGTCAACATTAATGTTGGCAGTTTTTTTCTAAAGAGTTTCATGTACCGCAGTCAACTTTAATGTTGGCAGTTTTTTTCTAAAGAGTTTCATGTACCGCAGTCAACTTTAATGTTGGCAGTTTTTTTTTAAAGAGTTGCATGTACCGCAGTCAACATTAATGTTGGCAGTTTTTTTAAAGAGTTGCATGTACGGCAGTCAACTTTGGTAGGATTTGGAGATCAATAGGGCAAGTAAAACAGAGCTGATCTTGTAAGTCAACTTTTATTGGCCATATTTAATGCAGTCAACTTTTATTGGGCCATATTTAATGCAGTCAACTTTTATTGGCCATATTTAATGCAGTCAACTTGTATTGGGCCATATTTAATGGAGTCAACTTTTAATTTATTGGGCCATATTTAATGCAGTCAACTTTTATTGGGCCATATTTAATGCAGTCAACTTTTATTGGGCCATATTTAATGCAGTCAACTTCTATTGGGCCATATTTAATGCAGTCAACTTTTATTGGCCATATTTAATGCAGTCAACTTCTATTGGGCCATATTTAATGCAGTCAACTTTTATTGGCCATATTTAATGCAGTCAACTTGTATTGGGCCATATTTAATAGAGTCAACTTTTATTGGGCCATATTTAATGCAGTCAACTTTTATAGGGCCATATTTAATGCAGTCAACTTTTATTGGGCCATATTAAATGCAGTCAACTTCTATTGGCCATATTTAATGCAGTCAACTTCTATTGGCCATATTAAATGCAGTCAACTTCTATTGGCCATATTAAATGCAGTCAACTTCTATTGGCCATATTTAATGCAGTCAACTTCTATTGGCCATATTTAATGCAGTCAACTTTTATTGGCCATATTTAATTGACTCAACCTATACCTACATTAAACAGAGCTCATTGATATTCAATGTCCTCATCTTGTGGATTCTTGAGTCACACTTTGACGGATGTTGCATGAGAGCAATTGTTGTTTCTATTCCTAGTTCTGATCTGTTCGTTATACGGGACAAACCTCTCAGGTGTTCGTTATACGGAGCAAACCTCACACATGTTCGTTATACGGGTCACACCTGTCAGGTGTTCGTTATACGAGACAAACCTCTCAGGTGTTCGTTATACGGAGCAAACCTCACACATGTTCGTTATACGGGTCACACCTGTCAGGTGTTCGTTATACGGGACAAACCTCTCAGGTGTTCGTTATACGGAGCAAACCTGACACCTGTACGTTATACGAGGCAAACCTCACACATGTTCGTTATACGGGACAAACCTCTCAGGTGTTCGTTATACGGAGCAAACCTCTCAGGTGTTCGTTATACGGAGCAAACCTGTCACCTGTACGTTATACGAGGCAAACCTAACACATGTTCGTTATACGGGTCACATTTGTCAGGTGTTCGTTATACGGAGCAAACCTGTCACCAGTATGTTACACGGGGCAAATCTCTCACCTGTACGTTATACGAGGCAACCCTCTCACCTGTACGTTATACGAGGCAAACCTCTTTAAAGACTGTGGATAACATGATAGATGACGATAGAGATGGCGAAAATGTCCTCAGTCGTGGTTGAACTGCCCAACATTAGAGCTTTACTCTAATCACTACCTTACGATGTGTTTGTGTATATCTGTTAGGGGGGGGGGCAATTTATAGTTCGCACTTTCCCAAGGATGACATCACTAACCTTCCCAAGTAAATCTGGCTCCTCCCCCACGCCTGTCAATCAAAGCCTGGAGCTAACCCGGCAGCGTCCTGTCAAAGTGCAGGTCATCGATGTGAGTTCACGCCATTAGAACCGGTGGGCCGCTGATGAAATCAATGGAGCGTGACACTTCCAACACCCAGGTCTTCACGCTTCACTGAGTCTCGATGTGAGTACTTCTCACGGTGACTGGTGTGTGGGGGGGGGAATTGGTTTACCTCGCCGACTGAGGGCGCTGCTTTCATCGCTTTATCTTGGGGTGCTATCATAAGGCCATCAGCATCTTTACGCTATCGGAAATAGGCTAGTCTGCTCACTAGCGCGTGGTTGAGGTAAACATGGAATAAATATGGGACGAGGTATGGTGACACTCAGGGTATCACCACCTACCCTTGGTGGTGACACTCATATAGTTCACCCAGGGTGTCACCACCTACCCTTGGTGGGGGGGTCATCTAGTCCTGGGGGGGGTATTTTGTGTCTTATAAGACCCCATCGATGAGCTCTGTTGCCCATGTGACAACCTACCATCACGTGGGTCCACTTCGTATGGCGAGTGACGTCAGTCCACGTCATATATGGCGTGTGACGTCAATGTACGCCTTGTATGCTGTCTATCGTCAAGCACGCCTTGTATCAGTAAACATTTCTCTGTTGCCTGTCCTTGCTGCCCTCTGTAAACATTTCTCTGTTGCCTGTCCTTGATGCCCTCTGTAAACATTTTTCTGTCGCCTTGCTGCCCTCTGTAAACATTTCTCTGTCGCCTTGCTGACCTCTGTAAACATTTCTCTGTCGCCTTGCTGACCTCTGTAAACATTTTTCTGTCGCCTTGCTGCCCTCTGTAAACATTTCTCTGTCGCCTTGCTGACCTCTGTAAACATTTCTCTGTCGCCTTGCTGACCTCTGTAAACATTTCTCTGTTGCCTGTCCTTGCTGCCCTCTGTAAACATTTTTCTGTCGCCTTGCTGCCCTCTGTAAACATTTCTCTGTTGCCTGTCCTTGCTGCCCTCTGTAAACATTTTTCTGTCGCCTTGCTGCCCTTTGTAAACATTTCTCTGTTGCCTGTCCTTGCTGCCCTCTGTAAACATTTCTCTGTCGCCTGTCCTTGCTGACCTCTGTAAACATTTCTCTGTCGCCTGTCCTTGCTGCCCTCTGTAAACATTTCTCTGTCGCCTGTCCTTGCTGCCCTCTGTAAACATTTCTCTGTCGCCTTGCTGACCTCTGTAAACATTTCTCTGTCGCCTTGCTGACCTCTGTAAACATTTCTCTGTCGCCTTGCTGACCTCTGTAAACATTTCTCTGTTGCCTGTCCTTGCTGCCCTCTGTAAACATTTCTCTGTTGCCTGTCCTTGCTGCCCTCTGTAAACATTTCTCTGTTGCCTGTCCTTGCTGCCCTCTGTAAACATTTCTCTGTTGCCTGTCCTTGATGCCCTCTGTAAACATTTCTCTGTTGCCTGTCCTTGATGCCCTCTGTAAACATTTCTCTGTTGCCTGTCCTTGATGCCCTCTGTAAACATTTCTCTGTTGCCTGTCCTTGCTGCCCTCTGTAAACATTTCTCTGTTGCCTGTCCTTGCTGCCCTCTGTAAACATTTCTCTGTTGCCTGTCCTTGCTGCCCTCTGTAAACATTTCTCTGTTGCCTGTCCTTGATGCCCTCTGTAAACATTTCTCTGTTGCCTGTCCTTGATGCCCTCTGTAAACATTTCTCTGTTGCCTGTCCTTGATGCCCTCTGTAAACATTTCTCTGTTGCCTGTCCTTGCTGCCCTCTGTAAACATTTCTCTGTTGCCTGTCCTTGCTGCCCTCTGTAAACATTTTTCTGTCGCCTTGCTGACCTCTGTAAACATTTCTCTGTTGCCTGTCCTTGCTGCCCTCTGTAAACATTTCTCTGTTGCCTGTCCTTGCTGCCCTCTGTAAACATTTCTCTGTTGCCTGTCCTTGCTGCCCTCTGTAAACATTTCTCTGTTGCCTGTCCTTGATGCCCTCTGTAAACATTTCTCTGTTGCCTGTCCTTGCTGCCCTCTGTAAACATTTCTCTGTTGCCTGTCCTTGCTGCCCTCTGTAAACATTTCTCTGTTGCCTGTCCTTGATGCCCTCTGTAAACATTTCTCTGTTGCCTGTCCTTGATGCCCTCTGTAAACATTTCTCTGTTGCCTGTCCTTGCTGCCCTCTGTAAACATTTCTCTGTTGCCTGCCCTCTGTAAACATTTCTCTGTTGCCTGTCCTTGCTGCCCTCTGTAAACATTTCTCTGTTGCCTGTCCTTGCTGCCCTCTGTAAACATTTCTCTGTCGCCTTGCTGCCCACTGTAAACATTTCTCTGTCGCCTTGCTGACCTCTGTAAACATTTCTCTGTCGCCTTGCTGACCTCTGTAAACATTTCTCTGTCGCCTTGCTGACCTCTGTAAACATTTCTCTGTCGCCTTGCTGACCTCTGTAAACATTTCTCTGTCGCCTTGCTGACCTCTGTAAACATTTCTCTGTCGCCTTGCTGACCTCTGTAAACATTTCTCTGTCGCCTTGCTGACCTCTGTAAACATTTCTCTGTCGCCTGTCCTTGCTGACCTCTGTAAACATTTCTCTGTCGCCTGTCCTTGCTGACCTCTGTAAACATTTCTCTGTTGCCTGTCCTTGCTGCCCTCTGTAAACATTTCTCTGTTGCCTGTCCTTGATGCCCTCTGTAAACATTTCTCTGTTGCCTGTCCTTGCTGCCCACTGTAAACATTTCTCTGTCGCCTTGCTGACCTCTGTAAACATTTCTCTGTTGCCTGTCCTTGCTGCCCTCTGTAAACATTTCTCTGTTGCCTGTCCTTGCTGACCTCTGTAAACATTTCTCTGTTGCCTGTCCTTGCTGCCCACTGTAAACATTTCTCTGTTGCCTGTCCTTGCTGACCTCTGTAAACATTTCTCTGTTGCCTGTCCTTGCTGCCCACTGTAAACATTTCTCTGTCGCCTTGCTGACCTCTGTAAACATTTCTCTGTCGCCTTGCTGACCTCTGTAAACATTTCTCTGTCGCCTTGCTGACCTCTGTAAACATTTCTCTGTCGCCTTGCTGACCTCTGTAAACATTTCTCTGTCGCCTTGCTGACCTCTGTAAACATTTCTCTGTTGCCTGTCCTTGCTGCCCTCTGTAAACATTTCTCTGTCGCCTGTCCTTGCTGACCTCTGTAAACATTTCTCTGTTGCCTGTCCTTGCTGACCTCTGTAAACATTTCTCTGTTGCCTGCCCTCTGTAAACATTTCTCTGTTGCCTGTCCTTGCTGCCCTCTGTAAACATTTCTCTGTTGCCTGCCCTCTGTAAACATTTCTCTGTTGCCTGTCCTTGCTGCCCTCTGTAAACATTTCTCTGTTGCCTGTCCTTGATGCCCTCTGTAAACATTTCTCTGTTGCCTGTCCTTGCTGCCCTCTGTAAACATTTCTCTGTTGCCTGCCCTTGCTGCCCTCTGTAAACATTTCTCTGTCGCCTTGCTGCCCTCTGTAAACATTTCTCTGTTGCCTGTCCTTGCTGCCCTCTGTAAACATTTCTCTGTTGCCTGTCCTTGATGCCCTCTGTAAACATTTCTCTGTTGCCTGTCCTTGCTGCCCTCTGTAAACATTTCTCTGTTGCCTGCCCTCTGTAAACATTTCTCTGTTGCCTGTCCTTGCTGCCCTCTGTAAACATTTCTCTGTTGCCTGTCCTTGCTGCCCTCTGTTGTGTCTGATTCCCCCAGCAAAAGTGGCCAGGTACGCATCAGCCTGCCTGGCCTCTCAACATTGCCCCAATTCGGCCCTCGGACAGAAAGCGAGAGAATATATTCCTGACCTGCCACATATCACGTCAGACTGTCAAAAATCTGGCAATCCAGAAACGAATCTCAGCCAAAAGTTCGATCAAATTTCTAGAAAATTGGCTGAGATACGTCAGGGCTGTTTCTGGAGTTGTTTGTCTTACTATGCCTGTGTTAGATATCTACAATGTTGTATGCTGTATTTATGTGTGTACGTTCATGTGTATAAACGTGTGCGGTGTATGTGTATACGTTTGTTGTGTAAGTGTATATTTAAAATTCCAGAAAGCCAATAGCTTAATGGCTCCAATACTGAGCTGTAGCAGAGCTTTTGGTTGCTAAATTAAAGCATCTGTATTTTGGTTTATAATTGTTTTGTTCAAAATTACATAATTTTAATTTTATAAATGTCAGGCTACATTAAGCAAGATTAATCAGGGGCAAGGCAATAGGCAAGTCAGGTAGTAAGGCAATAGGCAAGCCGATAGGCAAATCAAGTGGTAACTACATAGGCAAGCCGTGTGGTAATGTAATTAAAAAATAGATGGGTCTTTGTCAATCCGTCTTAAATAACGGTAATCAGCAAGTATTAGGGTATCTCTCTTACGTTAACATAAGTTACGGCCCCTGAACTACTTACACCCCCTCCCTCCCCCACCCCCGGGTGATCTTATTGCTACCATTACCTTGTACACACACGTTGTTGTCAAACCAGCCTCGCCCGTGGGTTGAAGAAACTTCTCGAAAGTTTATAATCAATAGCAACCGTCTTAAATTCAACAAACATTCACATGAATTGTTTGTAAGCAACGATTCCATTGGTCGGCTGTTTGCATCGCAGGTTCCTGTTGGTCCACAAAATGTAAACAAATCTAGTCAGCGGTGACCGAAGAGCTTGATAAACATTTTTTTCCAAGTTTCGGGGAAATCAGAGGGAATTTTCTGACATTTTATTTGTTCCTTGGGGGGACGGGGGAACGGGGGACGGGATGGACGGGACACTGGTTAATGTATATATATATATATATATATATATATATATATATATATATATATATATATATATATATATATATATATATATATATATATATATATATATATGCGTGTGTGTGTGTGTGTGTGTTTGTGTAGTTGGTCTATTCTTTATATTCGGGACGTGGACGGGATGGACGTGCCCCCCCCCCCCCCGGAAGAGATGCCTGAAAGAAACTCTGGGTGCAATGATTTTAGATTTGGTGACGATCGGGGCAGAACTACAGCCGAATCGATTCATCAATCAGCTACAATGCCGACGACAATAAGTTCAAATCATAGGGTCAAGGGTTACAGATGTAGCAGCTGTTGTGTCCGACCAGTCTATTGTGTCAGACCAATCTATTGTGTCAGAACAGTCTATTGCGTCAGACCAGTCTATTGTGCAGACCAGTCTATTGTGTCAGACCAGTCTATTGTGTCAGACCAGTCTATTGTGTTCGACCAGTCTATTGTGTCAGACCAGTCTATTGTGTCAGACCAGTCTATTGTGTCAGACCAGTCTATTGTGTCAGACCAGTCTATTGTGTCAGACCAGTCTATTGTGTCAGCCCAGTCTATTGTGTCAGACCAGTCTATTGTGTCCGACCAGTCTATTGTGTCAGACCAGTCTATTGTGTCAGACCAGTCTATTGTGTCAGACCAGTCTATTGTGTCAGACCAGTCTAGTGTGTCAGACAAGTCTATTGTGTCAGACCAGTCTATTGTGTCAGACCAGTCTATTGTGTCAGACCAGTCTATTGTGTCAGACCAGTGTGTCAGACAAGTCTATTGTGTCATACCAGTCTATTGTGTCAGACTAGTCTATTGTGTTCGACCAGTCTATTGTGTCAGACCAGTCTATTGTGTCAGACCAGTCTATTGTGTCCGACCAGTCTATTGTGTCAGACCAGTCTATTGTGTCAGACCAGCCTATTGTGTCAGACCAGTCTATTGTGTTAGACCAGTCTATTGTGTTCGACCAGTCTATTGTGTTCGACCAGTCTATTGTGTCAGACCAGTCTATTGTGTCAGACCAGTCTATTGTGTCAGACCAGTCTATTGTGTCAGACCAGTCTATTGTGTCAGACCAGTCTATTGTGTCAGACCAGTCTATTGTGTCAGACCAGTCTATTGTGTCAGACCAGTGTGTCAGACCAGTCTATTGTGTCAGACCAGTGTGTCAGACCAGTCTATTGTGTTCGACCAGTCTATTGTGTCCGACCAGTCTATTGTATCAGACCAGTCTATTGTGTCAGACCAGTCTATTGTGTCAGACCAGTCTATTGTGTCAGACCAGTCTATTGTATCAGACCAGTCTATTGTGTCCGACCAGTCTATTGTGAGGTTCCGACTCTGTGTACCCAATCAGCCGTGTCCCCCACGCCTCGCCAGGGCGGAATATTCTCGAAGTAATTAAGTTAGAACCAGATTAACTTTTTTCTAATTAGCGCAATTTCCATTCTGGAGAATTGCGTTTATTAACCCGTCATTTCTGGATGGATGGATGGATGGATGGATGAATGTGTGTCCGCAGCTTTAAGTCGTATCTCCTCCTCAACGAAGCAATATCGATGACTAGTTCCAAAAGCAATTATGTTAAGCTAGTTACGAGGATGAACATAGGCCATAAAAATTCCGGGTTTCTTTCATGGATTTCCCGTAAAAGCCAAAAAACCTCGAACAAATTCAGTTTTTGCTACATATCTAGGCAACCAGACCACTTAGCGACTTGAAACATTTACCAATCGATTCCTGCCATAATTTAAACCAATATTGCCGAAGAAAGTTTTCAAAAATATCCTTTCGTTCGGTCACAAAAAATTAATTAAGAATTTTTAAACTGAGCGTCTTGTAGGTTTTTAGCGCAAAAGCTGAGGATCGAAAGGATTTTAATGAGCGGAGGTTCGAAAGGATTTTTTAAATTTTTCCCCTTTTTTTTCGACTGATACGGGAGGCTACTCTCCCCTTTTTTTTCGACTGATACGGGAGGCTAGTTTCTATTTTGTTTTGAATTATTAAAACTACTTGTGTTGCATTATTTATTTGCTGAATATATGATTTATCTCGATTTAATTTACTTATTAATTCAAACGTTATTTTTGTACCCTATTAATAAGCTGAGGTTCGAAAGGATTTTACCATAGCGAATGAGCGGAGGTTCGAAAGGATTTTTTAAAAAATCTCGTTAATAAATATTTTTTCTATTTTGTTTTGAATTATTAAAACTACTTGTGTTGCATTATTTATTTGCTCAATATATGATTTATCTCGATTTAATTTACTTATTAAATCAAACGTTATTTTTGTACCCTATTAATAAGCTGAGGTTCGATATAAGGAAATTGCGCTAAAATTGTCACTAGACTTTTTAATTAACTTGTTACTTGATTTGTGTCTTTTTTATCGCTTTAGATTGAACAGAGCCAATGTTTCACGCAGGAAAATTTTGTTCCGTGTTTATTATAGCATACAGTAGGGGAGGGATGAAGTCGGTGCTAGGGACGTCAGTTGGTAATAACGTCAATATTTTTTAGGTAAGTGCTACGGACGTCAGTTGGTAATAACGTCAATATTTTTTAGGTAAGTGCTACGGACGTCAGTTGGTAATAACGTCAATATTTTTTTAGGTAAGTGCTACGGACGTCAGTTGGTAATAACGTCAATATTTTTTTAGGTGAGTGCTAGGGACGTCAGTTGGTAATAACGTCAATATTTTTTAGGTAAGTGCTGCGGAAGTCAGTTGGTAATGACGTCAATATTTTTTAGGTAAGTGCTAGGGACGTCAGTTGGTAATAACGTCAATATTTTTTAGGTAAGTGCTAGGGACGTCAATATTTTTTAGGTAAGTGCTAGGGACGTCAGTTGGTATTAACGTCAATATTTGTTAGGTAAGTGCTAGGGACGTCAATATATTTTAGGTAAGTGCTAGGGACGTCAGTTGGTTATAACGTCAATAATTTTTAGGTAAGTGCTACGGACGTCAATATTTTTTAGGTAAGTGCTAGGGACGTCAATAATTTTTAGGTAAGTGCTAGGGACGTCAATAATTTTTAGGTAAGTGCTAGGGACGTCAATATATTTTAGGTAAGTGCTAGGGAAGTCAGTTGGTAATAACGTCAATTTTTTTAGGTAAGTGCTAGGGACGTCAGTTGGTAAGAACGTCAATATTTTTTAGGTAAGTGCTAGGGACGTCAATATTTTTTAAGTAAGTGCTAGGGACGTCAATAATTTTTAGGTAAGTGCTAGGGACGTCAATATATTTTAGGTAAGTGCTAGGGACGTCAGTTGGTAATAACGTCAATATTTTTTTAGGTAAGTGCTAGGGACGTCAATATTTTTTAGGTAAGTGCTAGGGACGTCAGTTGGTAATAACGTGAATATTTTTTAGGTAAGTGCTAGGGACGTCAATAATTTTTAGGTAAGTGCTAGGGACGTCAGTATTTTTGAGGTTAGTAATAAAGTTAGTAATTTTTTTTTTAAATTTTAGTGCTAGGGACATCAGTTGGTAAAGCGGTGACGACTTTCGTATAATTTGAAAATAAGTTTTAAAACTCGCGATGACGTCATCTCCCGCCAAACGCCGCTGCGGTCTGCTGCCGGTGACCGGGACAGATCGTCGTCACGTGCTCCCACGTGTCGCGGTGACAGATTCTCACCTGTCAATAATGTGACTTTTGGTTGATGGAGGAATCAAGGGCTCACCCTCAAGTGGGCGGGGCAACAGTGACCAGACGACAGCTGCCCCAAGTGGCGGTTACATCTCAGCAGACGTCTACACACTTCAAGTTCTTAGTTCTAGCAGACGTCTACAC